TGCCACTACTCAATCCGCTACCGACACCGCAGCTAACAAACATAGCATTTCGTGATAGGGCTCAGTAAAGTATTTTGCGGGTTTTCGACTGAGAGGAAATTGAAACTTACATGAAAATCTGTCATAGGCCATAAACCGTATACAAGCCAAGCAATCAAAATGTTTTTTTTTTACTTGGGCAGTGGCCAGTTAATGGTTGACTCTGATATGATTCCGTGGCCTTATTAAAAAAAAAGTCCACTATAAGCTTTACTATATTCCTTGAAATCGTTTATAAACATTTATTACAAAATATTTCTGACAAGTAAATGAAGAAATATGCGTTGTGTACGGTCACCATCAACAAAATAACAGGAATAATATAGCACTATTTTCACATCTTTGAACTGATTTAACTCGGTTTGGACTGTGTTTTTGATATAAGACCCCATATATTTTTTTGTTTGTAATGTTATTCTGCATCAGTTTTTACACATTCAATAAACTGCCGCGAATAAATAAAAAGGCACCACGCTCCATACAAATTAGGTCATTGTCATTTGGGTATTATTACATAAAACAAAACTGTTACAAATAAACTTTTCTGGATTTGTTATGGGCAAATTTAACGATTACACTTTCAATATCGACTTCTTTGACTTCTTGAACGCCATGGGGGACAAGGTATGGGCCACGCTAGCGGAGGATTAACCTTCAACAGTTTTCTGTCGGCAGTCAAAGCCTTAAGCAAGTCATGCTCTATATTCAACATTGTGAGATGATTAAGACGTTCTTGGCCGTACGTAGTGTTCCTTAATAAATTCATTTTTGATTCGTTTAAATCGGGCTCGGTTCGCCTGCCAATGGCACCAACCAAGCGAACAAATACTAACTTTCCTTTTCTTACACATACAAAATACCGACTATTTGTCTTTTTTCGTTAATTTCGTTAACAAAAAAATCAAATTACATGTAGGTTGGTAGTAGTTTTGTAAACAAAACATTTTCTTCATAAGTCTTGCTGTTGAAGTGGTGTAGTAGCGCGGGGCCCCCCAATTCGCGGGGCCCGTAGCATTTGCTACTCTTGCTACGTGGCTAATCCGGCACTGATTATTATATAATTTATACGGTTATATTAATATATTACAATCTGATAATGAGAGGATAAAGTGTTACGTACTGTTCTATTAAAAATAACAATTGAGTAGGTACAGTTTTTATTATATTTATTAAAGGTCTATTGTTTTGTATTACGAAAATAGTTAGTAGAATAAGCATTTACTTATAATAATATCAAAATAACTATTAGAGTACTAGAGACTGAATATGATTTACTGACGCATATAGCTCTGTTATATATATTTATACGCACCAATATATATTTCGTAATATTATTTATACAACATGGCACGCATATTACAGTTTTTTCTTATACTTTATCAAAATAATGTCGAGTACCGCTCTATAACTTGTTACGTCCCCGACAAGGTGTTATTATATCAATTAATGTATTGTTTGTTTTAGATAATAAACAGAAGCACATGTAATCCCTCCTTTCAACACAATAGGGTAATAAATACTTTTGTTAAAATCTGGTTTTCCTTCTCAAGAGAGAAACAAAATGACGATTAAACTATACATTTCAAATTCTCTTCTGTATCTTGTCATATTCCAGATAACGGCACTAGAAATCATATTCCTATTGAGTCATTTCAAATGTTATGTACACACTAAAATTATTTTATTATAGGAATATGCCAGCAGCATTTTATTCAAACAACATTTCTTTGGTTACAAATAACTAAAAATCTTTTAAAACTATTCACTAAATTGAAATTTTACAAAATGTCGTAGCGACACGTTTAGCTCGGTTCATTCACTCGATCACTTGTGATATAATCGACAAACTGCGTGCCGATTGTGTAATTTTTTGGCGCTGACAGACGTACGATGTTCCCTGTTGACATATTTAAAATAGATTCCTAATTACCTACTTACAAGACGTTGCTCCATAGCGTGGTATCGCTCTTTGTGTAGCATTAACTTTATATCAGTTTATATTATGTAAGTACAAACTGCTTATATATGAGTACTAGAGAGGTAAAAACTCAATGATACTCTTTTGGAGTAGGTACTATTTAATGGTTTTTAGTAATTAGTGTTTGTGTTTGACATTAACTTGCTGTCTAATCAGTATAACATACTTAGGTACATGTATATCAATATTATATAGGCGTAAAAGTACACATAAAGTATAATAATGCGAAATGGCATCGTTTTTTTACAAGTTGTTTTGTTTCACATTCAGTAACTGGATTCGATATCAATTAACAGTTATTCGAGTCAAACTAGTTGTAATGAAGGATTAACTCGCTTTCTTTTTACGTAAATTTGATAACACGGTCTGCATTCGTTTTATTATCACATAACATTGAATTTGAATGCTATCGAGAAATATATATATCAAGTATATCAAAATAAAAAAAATTATGGAAAACTCAGCTGTCTATCTAGAGGTATAACGAAATATCTCCATATCTTACGAGGTTTATAATCTCTATATTACCTACTATAAATTAAAGTCTAGACTCGTAATTATTTGCAGGATTTTTAGGACAAAAATCCACAATTATTAAAGCGTTTATTCTGTTTACAAGGAGAAATCGAAGCGAAGACTGTTTTAAAATTATGACATCGATCAAACAACAGATAATTGTCACTGAAAAACTGTTCAGGGTTACTACATTCATTCCTTAATTTAAACAGTCTCTTGAAAGGCAAGAAGACGTATATTATATACATAATTATTTATCATTATTCATTCTACAATATGACGGTGCATTGGAATTCGACACAGGTATTTAAAGAAAAAGATTTTACAATGCGATAACACTTACGTATTACTAATCTTCACAGCTGTTGATAAATTATGATAAATTATACCTGTTATTATATTATATTACATTACCGATATTAATTTCTCTTCACTGGAAATCGATCTTTTTTATTTTCATGCTTTCCTTATCCAAAAGGAGACGGTGTTTTGATAAACAGCTACTAAAGAAACCTTTTAGATATTTCTAGAAGTCTCATAATAATTATCTGTTTGAATTTTATTATCCGCGGGTTATCTTTTGATGATAAAAATAAGACGTTAGAAACATTACTCAATTATCGTTACATAATTTAACTATAAACGTAACGCCGTATATATTGTTACCCCTCTATATAATCTATACATTAATATAGACTACAATATATCATGCTTACTATTATATAAAACTAAAGAATGTATTTGTTTGTTAGTTTGAACGGGCAAATCTCAAGAATTCCGATTTAATAAATTTCTTATTGCGTTGGATAGTCCATTTATCGAGGAAGGCTATGGACTATAAAACTTTACGCTACAATTAATAAGCACCGTGCAGAGAGGGCGGGACCGCACGGAAATAGTATCAGATAAAACTAATTAAACCTAACCTTACCTAACATCATAACATTTAATCCACGAAGGATTTGGAAAAGTGCAATATAAATGCACTTTTCACTAGTTATATTTTTGTTATGAGTTCTGTGTCATAGAAGGTGACCTTATTGTCATCAAAATAATAGATGACAACATTAGTGCAATAACGAAATTGTATACAAAAAAGGTATGCTACAATAGGGAATTCAAACTAGCACTCGAATTATAATAATTGAACATAAATGGAACTGCTATAGGTATTCAACGCTATTTCTAGAAACACTAATTACTTTTATGTACCTACCTGGAATTATATAATAGTTTTATTTAAATTGGTAGTTAGGTCAGTTAGATCATAGGGGTGTATCTGATCTATGATAGTCACATGTAATTACATTTAATTATTTTATGAACCTACAAGCTTAGTTTTCAAATGAAAATGATCTAGATGAACTAAAATAATTTTTATATCGTTTTTTGTGTTAGCAAGAAGGTTGAAATCTGCAAAACCTTTTAATTTTAATTGTTTATTGAACTGTTGTCTTCTTATCAGATTATCAATGTAATCACTATTTTAACTTTGTTATAACATTGTAACTGTTAACTGTTGTTATGAAGGTGATGTTCAGATTCAATCTTACTCACACTTCAGATTTTTATCACAATATGTGTTTAACACTCTCTTTAATTTTCAATACTAAGACTTCCTTGTATCTGTAGGTTTTGTTAGTAAAAACAAAATTCTGACCCATTCTGCATGGTGCTATGTCAAAATTCTATCTTTGGTAATTAAATCTACCAATAGACAAGTTGTCGAAACTGGCCGAATAGTTATTGATATTTTCCAATTTCAAATTATAGAAATATTTGACATTTCATTTGAGCTGATATTCGAATAGTTTGTTCTAATTTTAAATCATTTAGTTATTAGTTCTTAATTTGAAAATAATTGGATGATGTAATATTTTTATATTAAAACTACAGCCTTTGAAACGAAGTCTTTATATGGTAATAAAAATATTGATAACTTAATTAACAGTGTAATTAAGAAATTAACAGAAATCAATTTACATAATGCTGATGAGTTTCTTATTCATAGGTTTTTTATTATACTGCGTAATAAAAATAGGTGGCTAGGTAAACTTTTCTTGGTCATATGATACTAAAAACTTCGTATTCATCGAAAACTAGCTTCTATCTCTTATAAGCTTCAGTTTACACGTAAGCTTTTCCTTCATGAAAAAAAAATTGCATCGCTTGCCAGCCACATGCATCTTATGACTCAAATAACGCGTAGTCGTGCAAAAATAATAACTTTGTCAACGCCACTGAATTCAATGAATATTTCGGTTCTACTCTGCCTATCTGCTAGATAAAATACAATGATAATATAAACAAACGCGACCTAGATAAATTACAATAAGTACTAAGTTAGAATAACATAGTTTCGAGAACTTTTCTTCGCAACAACTTAACCATCCTTAAAGTTTGTAGTTTTCCACCAACCATTGTTACAAAATAAATAATAATCCAAGAAAAGCCATTAACTACTTACTGTTCACGGTCTTGCTTGCCATTTTTCTTCAGTAGAAAGATGGAATCGGCACAATAGAAAAAAACGAGTGATCGTTTTTCGACACTGAACGAACGCACGCGACGGCTCGTAGACAACTGCTACGCTTGCTACGAAACTCACACGCAGCTAATAATAATACGATTATTATTATCGGATTATTACCCCGCACTGAAATTACTCTGGTTGTATTGGTTTAGGCGCGTGCGACCACCGCGATGTGCGAACTATGAGTGACAATGCTCCAGACGAAATTTACTAGCAGGGTGTTGATAAACTGGCGAATAAACAATGTCACTCTATTGAGATGGATCAGGCTTAGGTCACAGCCTGGAATATACGCGGCAGTAAGGCTGAGGGCACATTAACGCTGGCCACGATTCCTCTTCACAATATAAACACGCTAAGAGTAGGTAGTACTTATGTACCTACTCCTTCTGTTTGGCTTGCGTTCATTGTTTTCCTATAAAAGTATTAAATATGCATTCACATAAAGATATAAAAGTCGTTATCAATGCGTACCTATAACGCCCATTAATCGAAACTCCGATTACATTGTTGTATTTGTTTTAAAACATTTCACCTATTTACTGACGCGATTGGCTACATCTGCGTCATCTATGTAATGCACATATTACTAAAAAAAATATTATCTAATATATAAAATTCTCGTGTCACAGTTTTCGTTTCGTCCAAAATGGTTTGACCGATTTTGATGAAATTTTTTGTGCTTACCCGGTATTTATAAGAATCGGCCAACATCTATTTTTCATCCCCCTAAATGTTAGGGGTAGTCCACCCCTAATTTTTATTTTTATTTTTCGAAAACATTTTTAATTTCTTTTTTTTTATGATAAAACATACAAATTACATACAATCCCCAATTTTCACCCTTCTACGAAATTATTTATATGGCAAACAACGTTTGCCGGGTCAGCTAGTATCTTATACTTTTATTATTAATTATTATAAAGCTGAAGAGTTTGTTTGTTTGTTTGCTTATTTCTTTGTTTGGACGCGCCAATCTCAGGAACTAATAATCCGATTTGAAAAATCCTTTTTGTGTAGGATAGTCCGTCGCGCTATGGACAATAGACGCCGTGTAGAGCTGGAGAAACCGCGGGAAAATAGCTACCTAGTATTAAAGATACTTATTAGTAATTTAGTATATATTTTGTAGTATATATCTGTAGAAAAAAGGTTAACTTTAATTCTTGATATTTTAATTAATGTTAGAGGATTTCTTTTGTAGTGTGTCTAACAGGATAATAAACGTTTTCATTTAATTGAAAACAAGTAATTAATATGATACATTCCTACGTTTCTGTTTTACGTCGATATAATATGCTTGAATGGTTTTAAATTGTCGTACATACTTACTTTAATTTCCTCTCTTATTCTATACTATAATATAAAGCTAAAGAGTTGATTTGTTTGTTTTTAACAATTGCTCTAATCTTAGGAACTCCTCGTCCGATTTGAAAAAATATTTTTGTGTTGCACAGTCCATTTATCGAGGAAAGCTATGAAACATAATGCTACAATCAATAGGAGCCAAGCAGAGCGGGTGAAATTGTGCGGCAGTAGTTAGTTAGAAACATTTTCCTGAGTTGTTACTATAAGGCATCCTTTGCTTTTTTGTAAACTTTTTTGAAAAAGAAATTACAGTTTTGTATATTTGTTTTAGAAAGGAGTCCAACTAATTTTTTTTTAAATTAAGTCTGAACGGTAAAACGTTTTTTTACAACAGTGATTATGTAAAGTTTAATTATAAACACCGTAATTCAACCTATTCACAAAATACTTCACAAAGTTATTTTTGTAATTTTTGTAAATGAAAAACTATCTTTAATAAAGAACCACATAGACACAGCACAGATTAAAAAAAATCACCAAAATTTTTACACCACAATACAATACCTTCGAATAAATCAGCTTCTAATTTTGAATAATGAATCATTAAATGGCGGCTATTTGATTGAGCAAAGAGGTCGTAATGTCACCTTTCTCTGAGAGAACAGTTTAATCAAATGACCGATCCAATCCGAATGTAGCTAAATAAAACTGCGTACTTATCATTTTAATTAGTATTGTACAATGGATTACAAATGTACTTAAAATTCTGTCATTGTTCTAAGTCATGCTTCAAATGAATTTCTAATTACTAAATACCGTAGTTTCTTAAGAGGCTGTATGATTGGTGAAATGAAAAATATTATTTTCCTACATGTTTCAGAGGAATTTTTGAACTATAGCGCCATTTTATCCAAATCATGAAATAAAGTTCAGTGTCTAACAAAGTCGTGGAAAACCTAACGGGTTACCGGGGCTCCAGCTCGGCGTGCAGGAGAAGGAACGGGGTGGTTTTTAAGCAGTAAGAGTCTGACACTCCCTCCCGCCTCACCCAGGCGGGAGCAGTCATTCGATGATTTTCCCCACTTAAAAAAAAGTGTCTAACAAAAACAAATGTTTTCAATAAAATTACTGAAACCGACGTGACGTTTATTTTAAAATAATAACATAAGTACACCGGAAGAGATCACAAAATATCTTAGTTCTTATTAAATTACTGTGTCACGATTACGTATCGCGTTAATTATAGTTATCATAATTTTATCCAATCGTATCGTATTACATATCCTTCAATCAATATTTTTTTTAAATACATAATACACCTACATACATAGGTACTTAATCTGTTTCACACCTCAATTTGAAAAACCCACCTATCTATTGTTTGATATCGGATATCTCTAAGAAGATATAATTACAAATACTTATGAATTAAATATTTATGTTTATTCTTTTTGCTTCTATTTGTCATTTCAAGTGCTAAGTGTGGGAGAGCCATGCTTCGGCACGAATGGGCCGGTTCGACCGGAGTGATACCACGGCCTCACAGAAAACCGACGCGAAGCAACGCTTGCGTTGTGTTTCGTCGTGTGAGTGAGGTTAACGGAGGCCCGATTACCCTCCCCTTCCCCAATCTCCCCAATTCCTGGATCCCCAACGGTCCTCAAACTCCTAATCCCCAAAAGGCCGGTAACGCACTTGTAACGCTTCTGGTGTTCCAGGTGTCCATGGGCGACGCCGATTACTTACCATCAGGTGATCCGTCTGCTCGTTCACCAGCTTATACCATAAAAAATCCATGTAAAATGCACAGGTGCAATTAATTAGTCATAAAATAAATTAATGATTTTATGTCAATTTTTTAAGCCTATTGGACTAAGCGGTGAAACAGTAGACGTATTTCAATAGATGTTAGAGAAAATTTTAGAAAGATGTCTAAATTCATACTTAATTATAACTTAATGGATACTTTCCCACCTGTGACTTGGCATGGGATTTAGAAAATTCCCTGCAAAGGGCCAGCAGCCGATAAATATCTTGTCTAGTATTGTGTATGAGTGGCACTGATCACTTACTACCGTCATTGTGACGGTGAAACTATTGCTCGTTAGTTGTTAGCCCCCATCCCATAAAAATATGTTTAGTGAGGCACCTATGCCATTTAAACTATATCTACGGCATATCTTACAATAATTAGTTTAAAAAATGATACATCGGACCAAACGGGTGATAATTTAGATTTTGTATTGTGATAAGATTACATGATTGACATTCTGAGTTTTTTATGTCCTTTTTGATGTACAAATGGCATTATGGAACATAATAAGGTTAAAATACTTCTGTATTACTGCGTTTTATTATTGTTGGATTAAAATAGAGTTGTTTTCATATCTCATAAGGATTTTATGATCATCTGCCCATTTTTATCTACTACTGGATACAGACCTCTTCAAAAGTTTCTTCGCCACCTGATCGCCCTAGAAATGTGACCAACGTTATTTATTTAAAAAACTTTTAACTGAATATTATAATCGCACGCTGCTTATAAGGAAGGCTCCCTCCGTGACTCGAAACTAGTAGAGATTTTCTCAATATATTTACGTGAGTAACTCGTTATTTTAATATAGATAATTGTATATCATAATCCCTAGTTAAATAAAATAACAACGTCAATGCAAGTATAAAACGGGATTGGCATACTATGTTTACAATAAACTGGTCACAATTAGTATCACATACATTAAATTTTTCTACTCTATTCGAGTAGCATTCACCTAAGTGTGCCATTTTTGGGATAACCCCGCCACAACCTCCCTAAACCGGTGCAACTCCTGTAAGCCAGAATCTACAGTACTTACAACCATGAGAATACAGGAACAATAAAGTCGGCACGTCCCAGGGACATGAATAACTGTCTCGGATCTCGCAACTATATAAATCTGAAGATATTATTAGAGTAAAAAAAAAGATAGATTTCCATTTGCCTACAGAGCATTATACTTTATGATGGTCAGCGGTAAAGAGTCCAAGATTTAATGGTCACGAGTCTAACCTCAGTTTCGGTGTTCCTATTTTTGAATTTAAATTACCGGAGTGTTGCCAGCCAGTCTTTGTACAGGCTGGATCTGTGTTGTTAAATATCGTTTTATATTTTTTGTCTCGCGTTTTAAGTAGGTACCAAAAATCTTTTTTTTATTTTATTTCAAGCTGCAGGTCGAAGGCCTCCTCCACTCCTCTCTACGACAAGCTTTCTGCGACCAATACTTGTCGTAAGTGTCAAGTTCGTCGCGCCATGTCCTTTTGGGCCTGTCGCAAATGTTGATCAATATCCTAAGAATCTTAAAATTTAGTTATCAAATTACGTCTTTAAAACTAGACTAAAATAAAGCAACATAACAGTAAGTCAAGGACATTTTCAAATTATCATTTAAGAGTTTTTAGCAATTTCTGGAAATCTTCATCCATTTTTACTTTGGACAAACAAAAAGTATGACAATAAAGATACCTTTGTGTACAGGCAAAAACGTGCAGATTTTTTATATATTTTGTTGATGCGGGCTTCCCATTCTATTTACGATTGTCAGGTCGATTACCCTTCGCCCCTACTACGCAATAACATTTCGAATCATTTCTATGGTGTTGCAAAAAATAACAATCGCCATGAAGCCACCATTGATAGAATCATGGATGTCAGATCATATTTCAACAATTAATGTTTCAGAATCTAATGGAATGAAACGAACAGATATCATAACGGAAAAATTAACACTTTTCCCCAAAAAAATTACATTAAAGAGCGGTCTTCTGGTTCAATAAAATAATTAACTTCTGTCATTTAGATGTCCTTTTTCTTCCGTTTCGTTTGTTATACTTAAGAGGAAATCGTGCTGAAAGTCCAAATACAAAAAAATAAATAAACAGCCAGAAAATAAGCGAAGTGGGAATGGACCACTTGTGTAAAATAAATAATAAATAATGTACAGTTAAAAAT